ATTTATGCTTGCTATTCAACCTTCCCCCCCCCCCCAGCACTTTTCTTTGTTCTAATTTTCTTTTCCTTTGCAAGTAAAAGTTTGACTGATGTCAATAGAATTAACTTCGAACGAGGCAACCAAGTGGGAGAAGCATTTGAATAAATGCTGATGACAGAGGCCTCTCCTGGAATATTCCAAAGGGAGGTATCTTTTTAAGAGAGAGAGAGAGAGAGAGAGGGAGAAGGAATTAACAGTGTGACTATTGTTAATTGAAATAATAAATACAAGGCTTATGTTTATTATAAGACTGATCCACTTTGGGGTAGATTAGATTTCTGTGGTAAAGCTCCAACTGTTGGTGATCTGTCTTGCTGTACCTTTCCACTTCTACCCAGAGATTAATCAGAAAGCATATTGTTTTTATATTTTTTAATTGAGGCAGGAGGAGGGCTAACCTCTACAGATACGTCCACAGATGTCAGGTGGAGGCATAAATGATAGCACATAATAGCCTCGTTCTCCCGCAAGACCCAGCTACTTTGGAATGTCAGATTAAGCGTGTTGCCAAGGTGGCTTAGAACGGCTTGCAAGAATGCAGCTCGGCTGGGCTTTGCAAAGGAGGGACCTGCAAAGGGAGCTGGTGCTGCAGACAGGATTGTGGAGTGAATGGGGATGACAGCAGAGCGGTGCTCGGCCGGTTGCGCAGGGGGAGCTCTGGGGCCCCACACGATTCCCACCTGGTACCCTGCCCCTTGGTTGCCTTTCAGAAGCTGTAGTGTAGTAACTAAGTGGTACAAACCAGATAGCCCAGGTTCCTTCCAGCTGCTTTCCCTCCCATCCATTGCAAGGGGGAAGAGAGGGCAGTTGTAGGATTGCAGAATGAACAGTTCTCAAACTATGAGCTGTGTTGGAAAAGGATGAAATCCCCGATGGGGACTTCACAGAAAAGAAAAGAAAAGAAAACCTAGCGAGAACACAGAAGTTTCAGCCGACCGGCCTGGGAGTTTGTAGGCCAGGTATTCTCCAGCTCCAGCGAGCTGGACCATTTCAGGAGAAAGAATAAATAATACTCTCAGTGACAGAAATGAGCAAAGTTCCTTTTTGGCTACTGTTTGGAAGGATTGCTTTGTATGGGCTTCTGTCAAGTCATCTTGGATGACCAGGGTTTATCACATCTGCACTTCCCCAGCTTTTCTTGAGTCCCTGAAATGTTCTAAGTGAGCCTCTAAAAATGTGTTACAGCAAACTGAGGAAGAAGATGGTTTGTTCTCTCTTAGCTCATTGAAGCAGGAAATGTTTTTCTTCAGTTTAAAAACACCGTTTGGAGCACTTTTTAAAGCAATCCTCCAACTTTTCCCCTTGGTTGTTAGTATGATTTGGTTTATGATCGTTGGTCAAGTATCATGAGATATTTAAGAATCTTCACTGTTCCATGCACGTTAACTTCTTCCTTTTTCTCTCCTTGTCTTCAGTATGAGAAAGCAACCGAAGGAACGGCCAGCCCCTGAAGAATTAATGGTGAGTCGATCTAGCTGTGCACCCTCTGAGACGTAAACCCCAAAAGTGTTATTGATTTATGACACATGCAAATTTTTGCTGTTTGCTGTTGTTTTCCCCGTAAGTTGTTGTTGTTGTTGTTGTTTAGTCGTTAAGTCGTGTCCGACTCTTCGTGACCCCATGAACCATATTGCGCCAGGCCTTCCTGTCCTTCACTGCCTCC